GACACTGAGAGTGTTAAAACTCTGCGACTCTCTATTAGGAATTTTTCTGTTGTTGTTGAGATTTTTTGTTGTGAGGTGCTCACTGGAGAGACAGAGACAGAGAGACAGAAAGTGAGAAATCACCCCCCAGGGGGATGGCCACGCTGCAGTCCCTTCTCCTCCATTTTTCTCTTAGGATTTTGGGCACACGTGCACATGTGCCTGGCATGAGTCTCAAACCACCGAGTCCAGAACCCAAACAGCAGCTGGCCACGGGGGAGTTGGGCGTCTTAATCACTGTGCGCCTGCTGACCCGTGAACGTCTATTTTTATATTACAGCATCTTGTCTCCAGGCGTGCTTCTGGGGACAGTGGCCCTGGGGTGAAAATAAACGTCACAGTGCCCGGCGTCCCTCACTGTGGCACCTGCCCTGGTGCGCTCACCCATGTGGGAGCCGTGGACACAGAGCAGGACTGTGACTAAGGGAGCCCGGGTTACCGCCTGGATGACACCCTGGGCTGCGGCAGAGTTGGGTTCTCCTGTACAGACCACCTCTGGGAGAGCTGGTGTGCTCGAATGCTCTGGGTGATCCGACCGTTGGGGGCAGATCTCAAAAACCCTCAGCGTGGCTTAGTCCCCCACTGGCGGACCCATGGGACGAGCTGGGAAGGCAGGGTGGCGGAGGGGAGGTCAGACGTGGTGTGGAGACAGGCTGCCCAAGGCGGGCGGGGCAGTGCCAGCCGTGGATGTGGGACAACGCCATGGTCTTCCAGGGCTGGCCCTGCAGGAAGAGGTGCCCTCGGCCCAGCAATCCACGGACTCTCCTCACCCCCTTGGCGACCCACTTACGGCTGCCTCTCGGCCCTTTCGACGCAGGCTCTTTTTGGAAGAAACGGTGTTGACTGCCCGAGCAAGTTTTGCTTGTTCCAGTCTCAGACCAAAAATCTTCTGTTCAACGATAACACGGAGTGCCTGGCCAAACTCCAGGGCAAAAACACGTATGAGGAGCACTTGGGAGCACAGTATGTCACGGCCATCGCCAACCTGAGACAGTGCTCCGCCTCCCGTAAGTGGCCCCTGCTCGGTCCCTGAGAAGCCCCCCGA